CAGCTCAGCCAGGACTAAAGGTTTGGGTCAGATTTTTTTTTTTTAAGAATATAACTCCCCCCCCACCACCACCATCCCACAAATTAGTATTTCATGTGTTCTCTCTCTCTCTCTCTCTCTCTCTCTCTCTCTCAAAAAAAAAAAACCAAACAAAAAAACCACCACCACCTAGGTAATTTATGTAAAACATTTGTTAATAGTGTGATCTGTTCACTTAGTCTGATGAGTATACATTTCAGAGATTTATCAAACACTCTAATTATAAAGTACCTGAATCTTAGTCCTGGGATTATTATAGTGAGATTAGGGCTGTCAATTAATCACAGTTAATACATGTGATTAATGCAAAAACATAAACTAGATAAAACACAGTTGCGATTAATCACAGTTTTAATTGCACTGTTAAACAATAATAGAATACCAATTTAAATTTATTATAAATATTTTGGATGCTTTCCTATATTTTCAAATATATTGATTTCAATTACAACACAGAATACAAAGTGTATAGTGCTCACTTGATATTTTTATTACAAATATTTGCACTGGAAAAAAAAGATAAAATAAATAGTATTTTTTAATCTCACACTTAATTGTGATTTTTTTTTAATCATTTGTCAGCCCTAATTGAGATGGGGCTTTTTTCTGCCAGGTGAAGTAGGTTCATGTTGTCAATTCAAACTGTTTAAGACAATCATTGCTTAGTTAAGGCAGTTACCAAATCCATTGCAAAAGATATGCAAATGCTGTAGAAGAGGAAATATTTTTATTTTAATGTCTTCAGACAGACAGGGATATGTTAATGCTATTTTTTTTTGATGGGTTTACTTATGTTGTTCATTTTTTACCCTACTGTCATCCTTTCTACTACAAGGTACTTCTTTCTAGTCCCAAAGATAGGAAGTACCATTCCCAGCACTAATTTCCATTTCTAATGATTACAAGTACACATGGAAATTACCATAATTAGCAATTTGACCATCCAATAATCCAGTTGCACTTGTCTGAAAATCTGCCCCCGAGCATCTAGGCTGCCCTTTGAACTGGCCAATAAGATCATTCTAAGCAATATTGGATTTTGGTTGCCAGAACTAGGAAGATTCATTCTCATTAAGTTTTGACATTCCATCATGAGAAGTAATGAGGTTCCTTCTCAAACTACCTGGACTGAGCCCTGGCATAAATGGCAATAGTCAAGAACTATAATTCTGTTGGTCAATTATTAGGCCAGCTAGATAATCTTTCATGGTTTTTGAAAAATGTGTTTGTGCTCTATATAAATATTACATTTTTCATTGATTGATGGTAGAAAACAGAAAGGAAGAAAGCATGAAAAGGGTGGGTATAAACCAGATATGCTGTGTGCTAGCAAATAATCAGAAAGGGTGAAATTCACCCAATCAGAGGTCTAACACGGTTTCTACTCTTTCCAAAAAGGACACATATTTTAATTCACTCTGCTGACAAGTAAATGCAACTGTCTGGTGTGTCTGTGTCCAATGTTGCAAAGAAGCCATAAAATTGGCATATCCTACGCCACTCCCATATGAGACTTGTCATGTGTCTGGACAAAGGTCATGTGGTCACATCATCTTATCTGAAATGATCCCTTGTCTGCTCTAATTTGCAGTGAGGGCTAGCCTGATTCCTTGTCAGTCCCAGAACTGGGGGAGCATGTGGGCAGCTTAATGTCACTTCTGCCAACCTTCCACCAGTCTTGTGCTAAGCACAACTTGGCCAGATTGGAGTACCTGAGTGAATGATTAGATATAGACCTTAGAGATGAGTAAATAGTGGACAAAATTTTCTGTGAATATTTGAGTTCTAAAATGAATTTTAATAATCTACATATTCTACCCTTCCAGGTACACTTTCTATAAATAAAAATGAGAATTTCATGATGTAGTTGAATATGTTTTGTGATCAGCAAAAGAGGTGAAATTCATCAAATAGATTACCTAGTATGAAGTATTCTCTCAGATCTAACAAGACAACCAGAAACCTTAATCTGGACACCTCTGAACTCTAGGATGAAGGCTGGAATCTGAACCTAGATCCAGAGCCATACTTCAGAGCCATCTCTATGATGGGCTACACCAAAAACCCAAGATCTGAATTTCCAGTTGGTCTCAAGTTTGTATCCAGATGGGCTCATCTTTGTATACCAATACTAAATGATATGCCTTTAAATTGAAAAGAAGAGTATGTTGTTATCGTCAGGTTAGCATACTAGGATTGACTGTGTTATTTTTAGAAGTTATAGTTGGACCTAGTTTAAGTAAAATGGAGTTTAGATCTGTTGCAGCTGCTCCCCACTGAAATTTATGGCAACTGTATCTTTGTGAAGTGATTGAGGTGACGATTTTACAGTGCAGTTTAGTATTTTAAGAATCAATTGAAGTGACTCTTCAAATACCATATTGCACAATAAGGCTGCCATTTACAACTTCTGTAAAAACACCAGATATGAAGTGGTCTGAAAATGCTATTCACTTCAATAGGAAAAAGTTACCACAGTCTTTAGACTGTCTTTGAAAATAGCTATGACTGAATAGACAACACATGCTACTCAGTCTCTTCCAACACTAGTGGACTGCAGCCAGTCCTTGCTTCCAAGGTATGTATGACCCATGCCAGGCTATTTTTAATCTGTTTTGTTGAGTGGTTTTGTTACACTAGTAAAATAGCTGCTAATTCAGGATAAACAAAATAATTATCACCCTTTTTATTCCCCCTTTGATGAAAGGCTGACATTGCTCCTGAAGACTTGAAAATAACCCATTGTTTCAACAATCAGAAAGTCATCTATACATCTCTAAGAAATATATCAGTAGAGGATACTGCATTGAGAGAAAGAACAGCAAAAAACTTCATTTGCTACTGATTTTGCACCTCAGGTCAATGCGTTTGTAGAGGCAGAAAAGCAAAGTGTGTCCTTGACAAGTACTACCCAAATATAACCTAATAAATTGAAGGCTGCACTGGAAATTGCTAAAATCCCAATGGCCGCACTTGGGGCAGAGTTTTTACAATTGCATTTAGGTTTGGCATGCTGTATTCTGTTGTCATGACAACACATGTGGATGTCCTATTGACATAATGACAGGGAATATATAAGGAGCCAGCTAACACCATGTGGATTCAACAGAAGAATCTTGCCTTCAAGAATGACTTCTTGGTAAAAATTTCCCCAGATTCCTAACCTACAAGGTGATCACAGATGCTGATTAAGGAAATGAATACACGGCAGAAAGTCTAGAAAAGCTACTAAGGTAACAATATCTGTGAAGTGTCACTATGAGCTACAAATTAATATACTGGTATTGACTGGAAACAAGTGAATGTTTTACCACTGGACCTTTGTAGGTGAAAAAATATGTATAGCATCAAATTTTGTTCCCCCAAAATACCTTACAAACTACACCAATGAATTATTTATTAGCGTGGGTGCTTAATTGAAGTTTAGCTCAATTATCCAATCCACAAAATTTGGCTTGACACCTTAAGAGAACAGTTAGATTCTTTTCCTTTCAGGGTTTCTTGTATTTCCTCTTTCTGGTTGGTCTGGAATTACTATGAGAACAGCCTGTCTAGCTTTGTTTTTGTGATTCTGATTCCAATTCCTGGCCCACATTCAGAAGAACAAAAAAACCTACAAAAGGTTAAAAAAAGGGGGGGAAGGCAGAGGTGAAATATTAATTCAATATATTAATCTTCCCCAAAAAGGGCGACCTTTGGATGAAATTTCAGTGGACTTTTTCCATTTTTTCCTCAACCAATTACATCCAGCTTGACTCACTGCCACAATATATCACTTAGACCAGGATCTTAGAAGGATTCTCAAAAGGATTAGACATTAATATGGATAATAACAACATCCACATTTACATTAGGAAGGATAAGGGGTATAATCCCTTATGCTTTAGGGTATAAGCCAATCACCATCTGTCTGGAATAAGGAGAAAAATTCCCATATGGTCAGGTTATCCCACAGTTCTCCATTAAGGGAATTTTATATCTTCTGAAACATCTGTTACTGGCTAGAGTGCTAGTCTGGGATTCAGGATATTAGTGTTCAGTTTCCTGTTCTGCCACAGACTTCCTATATGATCTTGGGCAAGGTACTTAGTCTTTCTGTGCCTCAGTTCCCCAGCTGTAAAATGGAGATAAACAGTACTTCCCCCTCTCTCAGAGGGGTTGTGAGGATCAGTACACTCAAGATTGTGAAGTACTCAGATGCTACAACAATGGGAGCCGTATAAGTACTTTAGACAGATCACTGTATGAGACAGGACAGTAGCCTAGATATACCACTGGTCTGATCCAGTATGCCAGTTACAGGGTCTCTAAATGCCTAATTTCTCTAATTTTGTAAATGTCAAAAAACAGGTCTGAAGACATGATTAAAGCATTTTACAGCCCCAGGAAGCTGAGATGCTTTGAGACTCTAGACCAATATTTGTTTCCCCCTAACAAATCAAGCAGTTTAGTTTAAAACAACATATGACACTTTCTAAATTATTCTTAAAGTGTAGACATCAATTAATAAATGGAAAACCATGAGTCAGCCACAATATTTTGGAATTACATTGATGAGAAACACTTCCAAATAAACTACTCAAGTTGCTGATTAATAATGGGAAGCTAATGAGAATGGAAAACATGTGCCTACAGGACCCAGCCATCTTTCCTATAGCAATTTACACCTCTTGATGGTTTTACAAATAACGCAATCAAGGAATATAATGCAGAAACTTCTCTACTTTCAGTTGCTTAAAAAAGCAATCATAATTATTTACTGCTTTAGTAACCCCAAGTGCTAAATGCCATCAGAACTGAACACATTAACACCTTAACTAGAAGAGAAGAAAGTCATCATGCACTCAAACTATTTAATATCTGTAAATCAAAAATTAAGAACACGCTCAAGAAGGTGGTCTATGAATTTTGTTACTCATTAATGCGGAGTGTTGGATGACAAGCACAACTAACAGCCATACCACTGAATTTTTCACACTCTGTAATAAGCGCTCATGTTGTTCTGCTATGGCCAAAGCAGCTGAGTGAACCTTCTGATAGATCGCCTCCCCATCTCTTGTCTGAAAGATGAATAGTCCTTCCCCAGTGTCACACATCCTGCCAAAGCGAGAACAGAAATGATCCAAATGTGAGGTTTTCATTTGTTCAGGGTGATTTGTAAAGTATATTTTCGGCACTACTGCTGTAAAAAAAAAAGTGATATCAAAGCAAAAGGTAATAAATATAACAAATGATCGTGTGTTTTACTGCAAACAGATTTAAATACAACTTCATAAGCATATATACAAACCACTAGAACAGGATATGATGATTACTCATCATTATCAATAACATATGGGCCAGATTCTCCAACCCATATTCATGGAGTAGTATTTACTTATGCACATAATTGCTTCTGAATGTAAACATTACAGAATCAAGTCCTTGGTGTATTTCACTTTCAAACTATGTACGCTTGAAAGGGTTTGATTCAGCTGTGAAACTCAGGCCCCTGTCTAAAATCTACATTACTGAACTAAATTAAAGTATTGTGTATCTCTTTAGATTTATTAAAGATGTTGTTAGAAATAGGGAAGTGTCTCCTAGACCAGAAGAGTTACTAAGAAGAGAAATGTTACCTCCCCATGCACTGGTGGATGTGAACTTTATTTAATTGAGGAGACAATATGTAAATTCGTGGAGAAAGTCAGTAATTAGGCTTATATTGATTTGCACCATTAGGAGAGCACAAAATTTCCTCTGGGACCTGTGTGAAGCCACCATGCCATTTCTCTTCAGATTGTTGCTCTTTCAGCTCTATAGAGAAACATCCATCTCAACATAAAATATAAGGGTCTAATAGGAATTAAAATAGCATTTTAACACTAATGCCAATGCTTTAAGGCAAAATTCCCCTCTTGCATCTACATGACAGATCCTGACTCCACTATTTAGCTCTCCCTAATTGCACAGAACTCCAGTAAAATTTTGAGAGCAGAGTTTGCCTTCAACTTGAAACACTTGTACATGTAGCTAGTAGATCCATTAGTAACTCCTAATTGAATCTTCATGCCATTATGGCTAAGGTAGGTGCTATTAGTGACCAAGGGTCAATCTTTGTGTTGTACGAATTACTGGCAGAGTATGATATTTCCCCCATTTTTTTTAAATCTGTACATCCAATTCTCCGGGCTCATGTACAGTATTTATTAAAAATAACTACACAGTAAAAAGTAGAATCAGTGTGCAAAAGTTGTGGTTTATCAAGCAGCAACTTAAAACTATCCATATCAAAATGTGAACTTTTTTCCCCACAAGGTGTGCAACATCCTCTGTAAGGTTCTGAACAATCTCCACTCTCATTCACTTCAGTATAAGGTGAGAAAGCTCATTAGTATCACCTAGGATTAGCCCCCCATCGCCTCTCTATGAAAATAGCTTATAGTATTATAGCAAAACACTCACCTCCCTGCTTCAAACGTAAACCAAGTTGGGTCTCGTCCATACCGCCGGAGGGCACTTAATGGCCAAGAGATGAGTTTTACTCTGGGATTCTGGATATCCCAAAGACAGATATGCTCAAATGTTATCTGCAAGGTACATTCCCCATGCACCTCTAAATTAGGGGATGGCATTAAATACACATTGAATCTCTCTGGAAGAAAAACAAATGGTTGGTCTAAAATCTCTAAGATTTTCCTATTTTTCCTTTATTTATAATTACAAAGTCTTATATCTACTTTTAGCAATTACTCCAAGAATAAAAACTCGCTTCCCTCAATTGATTACATTTATTTCTAAAAATATACTGCATACAGAGTGAAGCCATTTAAGTACCATAAGAACAGTACATAGCAATGGTCTCTAAAAAACCATAAAATGTTATCTATGTGATCACTTTTTAAACAACTGAGATTTGAAGCTCTCTGGGGCAAAGGTCTATTTTATTACACATATGTAAAGGGCCTAATAGAGTCCTGGATTCCAAGCCAGAAGGGATCATTGTGATTCTCTAGTCTGCTCTTCTGTATAACACAATCCATAGAATTCCCCAAAATAATTCCTAGAGCAGAAAAAAAATCCCACCTTGGTTTAAAAATCATCAGTGATAAATCCACCACGAGACTGGGTAAATTGTTCCAGTGGTTAATTTTCTCCCATCATTAAAAAAATTACACTTTATTTCTAGTCTGAATTTGTCTAGCTTCAACTTCCAAATGCCAAGGGAGAAAGTTCAAGCTGCCAAGGTTCAATATGTGGGGCCGCAAGGATCGGAGACCATAGAGAAGCCACATAGTGGAATTTAACAGCTCTCTGCATGCTGCACAAGTAAACTCTCTAGTGGCCTGCTGTGCAGGAGATTGGAAGGGAGGTGAGCTCTGGTATGGCCTGGGAAGTGACTGGGACATTGCTTATCGATCCAGACCTACACAAATTCACTGACAACACATCATATGGAACGTTGCAGTAGGCTAAAACTTGTTACCCACTTCAGGAAGAGCTGAGATTCAGCATTCTCTACCCAAGTAGGCTTTGGTTCCCCAGACAAAGCCTATTTACTCAGGCCTTACATTCAGGACATGTATGTCACTGTGAAGAATTATAGCAATGAACTTCTCTTCCAATAATTATGGTTGTATATAAAAAGCGTCACAAGAATAGTTAAAAGTGCAGTGCAAGTCTGTGCATTTAATAAGTCTCTAATCTATGTTCATGACTGCTTAAGATTTTATATGAACTCAATTTCGCAAAGAGGATTCCCTCAGTCTACTTCTTGCAGACATGGAATTACCTAAAGCCACTCACCCACTTGTCAAACTGGTTCCTTCTCATTCGTCACCTTTTTTCAGTCACTTGACTTAGTGCACATATTTTGGATTGAATGAGTAACAATCAGATTCGATAGAGGAAAGTGGCAAGTAAATCTGAAAATTAACATGTTCTTTAATTTCAAGCCGGGATAGTATTTTAGAGGTTTAGAAGCTGATTCTCCACTCTGTTACATTAGTTCTGTGATGGTATAAGACTGTTTAAGCCGGTGGAATTGCAATGGACAATGGAGACAATGTCTCCAAAAAGACAATGGAATGAAACACAGATTCAGATTTTTAACTCTGAAATCTGGTTTTAAAAAAGCTTGGAGAAATGCTGCTAAAGGAATTCCAGGTTTTCTTCAGGTGAAAAGACAACCTAAGCGTTCAAAATTAATTCTTTTAGGTTCAATGAATGGTTAAAAATGTAACTGCATTCTCCATTATATTTTTAGTGCAAGTCCCTGAACTCAGTTTGCAACAGAAATGGGATGAGGGCTAATTATAAATTCTAATATGTTAACCATACATGGGCATCTGAGAGTGTGTGTTTGGCCAGTATACAGATAGAGGGGAAATAAGCTAATAATTAGGGTTGCATGCAAGGAGGAGAGATTCCAGCCTGTGCTTCTCAAAGAGGAGTGTGTTTTCACAGGGCTGCCCAGAGGATTCAGGGGGCCTGGGGTCTTTGGCGGCGGGGGGCCAGTGGAAGAAGCTCCGGGGGTCCAGGCCCTACGAGAGTTTTCCGGGGCCCCTGGAGCGAGTGAAGGACCCCGCTCCAGGGACCCTGAAAAACTCTCGTGGGGGCCCCTGCAAATTGCCCCACTTGCCCCCCACCCCCCGGGCAGCCCTGTATTTTCAAGGTAAATGCATGTGGGCACACAAAAGGCATTCACAACTGTATTTTGCATGCAGTTAATAAAATTGTGTGCACTAATTAAGTCATGGAAAGCACGTGTGCATACAATTAGCTGATTTCCATATGCAAGTGAAGTAATTGAGCTCAGATTATGTATGCAATTATTATTTATATTGCAATATTTATTATTTGTATTTGTGCCTACAAGCCACAGTCATGGCTAGGTTCCTTCCAAATGCAGAACCAAAAAGCATTCCCTGCCCCCAAAGAGATTACAATGCACCTAATTTGTCTGAAAAATCTCACTAGAACATTTCTAAAATCCTAAATCAGAGTGTCAGATTAGCAGAACAGGTTAGTTAGTGCTGATAACAATCAAGATTGGTGGTTTTTGTTTTGTTTTGGGGTTTGTTTTTTGGTTTGTTGGTTTGGTTTTTGCACCAGGTTGTAAAAGCTCAAGTATATTTCTGGTTTCTACGTGCACAGCCCAAACATTTAAGTAATTGAGCCATGCCCTCAGGTAGGAATTATGTTCTAAAACGCTATAAAGTTCAATATTTCTGTACATACCTCTCTGCTCCCTTTCTACACCAGATGCCAACAAGTCAGGCTCTCCAAGGCTTATGTCATTAATCTGAGTTCCTAGGCATTCCATCTGCAGCACTTTGCACCACTCATCCGCCTCGAGTTCTGTATAAATGCCCAGAAAATCTGTTTGTAGGTACAATATGTTTATAATTTCACAATTTACATTCCAGTGTTTTCTAATATACTGTGCCAGTTTACCCACCTGATTCACAAGCAAAGGTTTTGGACGTGTCGTCATTAAAATAAATGCCTACAGCATGTTTCTTCGTGCTTTTTGGCAATCGTAATATATTCTTCACATTATTGAGTTCCGTGACCTGAAAAAGAGCAATTTGGAGTTCTAATTAGAATCCTTGAATAATGACTATTGAACAGAGGAGAGAAGGGAAAAGCATTAAGCCAAGCTGGAAAAAAACCCAAAAAGAATGAGCCCATGAGCACACACAAGGAAAAATCATCTTGACATGAATCAGGCTCACAGATGAACTTGAAGATTCTAAATGATGTAGTCACATGGACACTTCCACACTGCCTCATATTCGGTCTGTGCACAAGCTCCAGTGAAACCCAGTAAAAACAGGATTTAAACCACAGGGATGGTGGAATCATCTCTTCAGGAAGCAGCATTCACGCCAGTGGGGAAACACCCATATGAAGTACATGGTAAAGAGCAAACAGGTGCAGCAGAAGTAGCAAAAGACCAAGAAAAAAGGTTTCACTTGATCCATTCACTTAGCGGGTGAAACCGATTCTGTTATGACTTGCTCTATGGCAGAACAAACACTAGGGTAGATGAAATTTTTCATCTAAAACTATTTTTGACGGAAAATTAGTTTTTCAACAGAAGTGTCCACTTTCCTTGTGGGCCTGTGACAGCAAGGGGCTGGACGCAATGACCAAGAAAGTCCCTTCCTTCCAGCCCTATGTCTTATGTTCTTTGAAAATTTTCAATTTTTTGGTCAGAAATACAAAAACCTGAAAACAGAACATTTAAGTCCTCTCCACCCCTCAAAAATATGGTTTTCAGTAGTTTTTAGCCAGAGATTTTCAGACTTTGGTTGACAAAAACTGAAAAAGTTTTGATTTTCCGGTTTTCATTTTTTCAATGCAAAGTTGATTTCCCCCTCCCCACCCTGTTGAAATCTCCTATTTTCTGTCCAGCTCTAGTAGACAGCTTCAGCAGACAATAGGTGCTTTTTAACATTTCTACACAAAGAGCCCTATTTTCCAGCCTGGACTAGGACTTCGCTCTAAGTTTTTAACAAAAAAGAGCCTAACATTCGGCTCAGTGGTAACTGTTGGTTTCTCTGCACTATTAACACTCAGGCAAGTGGCTAAATATGGAACCAGGAGACTACATTTTAGGCTTCTGTTTTGGAAAATCTTGGCCGTACACCTCAACATTTTCATTGCCAAAGTAACCATCTGAACATGAACTTTAGCCACTCCCTCCACTGGTGCATTTCTTTTGGTAATTTCACCAGAAAGAGGAAGGATGTAGCTGCTAGACATGTTCTCTCCAAAGACAGCTTGCACCATCATTGTCCAGGTTTTCCTAGTTCTCTGAATATTACTAAAAGGGTATTGTAACATTGAGCAACATTACATGCCAGTGGAAAATTTCACTTGTTTTTTTACCATTGTGGGCTGGTTCTCTACAGTACTGAAAAACTAAAGGCATTACAATCTATTTATAAAGAAGTGAGAGACAAATATCCTAATGAGCCTTAGGCTCCCACTGACCCAGTCTTACCCAGTTCTTCCTCAAAGCAGTTCTATTGCATGTTCCCTTCTGGCAAGAGAGAGAGAGAGAGAGAGAGAGAGAGAGAGAGAGAGAACGAGAACAGCTCTAGTAGGAAGGAAAATCTTTGAAAGCTAATCTCTCCTGAAGGAGAATGGGGCAAAGTAGCAAAGTGATGGGTGCATTGTGAGCAGCCTCCAAAATAAAAAAAAAAGCAATGCATTGGCTGAAACCTGTGTCTGGACTCACACTTCATTGAGAAGCAGCAGAAAGAAAGTCAGGAGAGGGTCATCACACAAACACTAACCCAGCTGCTAAGTCTCACCTCCAGGTGGCTGAGTTCAGAACTCAGTCTTTTTTGCCTATGGGTTTTAGAATCAATCTTAACATTGCTTTAAACAGGATAATGTAATTGTGCTTAATTTGCAGGATCTCTTCCCACTTTTACAGGGAAGGCTATGGTGAGAGAGCCATGATGGAAGAGCATTCCTGATGCTAACAAGACAAGACACTAATAAATATTTTGATAAAAATAAGAAATCTGTCAATATATATTCCCCTCCCACCTCATCCCATTACAGGTGAACTGCAAATTATCAGCTGCCAAGTTCAACTTCTAATATTTCCTTCTCGCCCCCAAGGAAAGAATTCAATAGCATGAGAGAAACAGTAGATATTTCCTCTTTTAGGACCAAAGTCTCCCTCTCTTACTCACAATGAATAGTACTTTACTCTCTCTGAGTAATTCCTCTGAAGAAAATGGGACTAATGGTGGAGTAAATTATTACTCATGTTAAGTACAGAATGGTAGAATCTGACCCATAAAATAATTTGTTACAGAATTACATAGAATGCACTACTCTATCATTTAGCATATAGCATTAGATAGAACACCGGGAAGAGCCTGCTTCCTGAAGTCGTTAAGCTTGCTTTAGTTCTCCCCATTGTTCACAACCACAACATAGAGGCAGTTCAAGATTTGTGCAAGATTAGTGGCCCCACAGAGATTGTATTATGGCTCCTTCCCTACCTGTGGGCTTAGGTCTGTGTGAATAGCATTGCTCTACTTGGTAGAATGCCCTTCACAACTCCAGTTACTGGGCCTTCGCCAGACTGATGTTAGTGGGTGTTTTTTGTCTACAGAATTTGAATCCACGATCGCAAAAAGGTGAAATAACCTAATTTACTGATATGGCATCTCTGAAACAATTTTACCTTCATCTTGTGGTTGGTAGAGGACCAGACCATGGAGAAAGACTGTTGCCAGAAGCTGGTATATGCATTCTTTCAATGATTTACATTAGACTTGACACATCCAGAGAAAAGCTTTCCAGAATAAAGTCTTCTGTTTTCACATATTCTCTACACATTCATAAAGGCCAGATTCTGCTATCTGTACTCATGCATGATTACAAACCAATGGTATTACCTGCAGAATAATGTACTATTTAGTGTGGATAAGGGTTTCATAATGGGACATATAATGATTCACAGTGGTTTCCCTAATGTATATTAACAATAATATCAATATAAGCATTGTGGCCTGAGGCTTTAAGCAGTGGTCCATCAGGGTAATCTGCTGGCGGGCTGCGAGACAGTGTTTATATTGATCGTCCGCAGGCATGGCCGCCCGCAGCTCCCAGTGGCCGCCGTTTGCCGTACCCGACCAATGGGAGCTCCGGGAAGCGGCATGGGCTGGCCACTGCTTCCTGCAGCTCCCATTGGACGGGAACTGCGAACCATGGCCACTGGGAGCTGCGGGCGGCTGTTTATGCGGATGGTCAATGTAAACACTATCTCGCGGCCTGCTAGCAGAATACCCTGGTGGGCTGCGGGCCGCAGGTTACCCACCACTGCTTTAGAGAATAAGAAGCTCTCTGTTCCCCTCTGTTGTTGAACAGGGCAAAGAATGGCCCCAGAGCTGCTTCATTTGTGTAAGCTATTTACCTAGAACTAAGGAGGCATGTCCCAGGGGAAGAAGCTCTCTGTCCCCATCTATTGGTGTATAGGGAAAGTATGGCTGCAGAGAGAACTTCATTTGCATAATCTTTCTACCAGTAATTCCTCCAGTGACACTTTGGGAGCCACCAAACTGGCCACAAACTCAAAATGTATTGAGTAGTGGAACTGAACTGACAAAGAAGAGAGGGGAACTCTATCTTGTGTCATGGAGTGCATCCAAAATAGAAAGCACTTTGCTCAAGGGACTTATATGCTAGTGGTTCCCCTCTACTGAGGATCCTGTGCCATTGAGAGAACTTTTTGCTGAAGCCACAAAGTACAACACCAGAGCTACCATGGAAGAATCCAATGCCTGCAGATTGGATGCAAGATATCAGCCTTCATCATCTTAAATGGGACTTAGCACATGCTTACCTTCCACAGGCCTTCCGAGGGTAGCAAGGAGCACCGTAGTCAGGTGACTAAGCTTTTAGAAGTTTCAAATGGAATAATTTTTTATGCAAATAAGCTTTTTGAGAGAACCATGTATAATTTTAAACATGGGTTTTCGGTTGTTCAGCATATCATGACTATGGAGTTTGGGAGGAATATACAACTGAAGATGGGGAAAAAAGTACTGACATTATCAATTCATCTCAAAGGTCACGCAGTTATGAAGAACTACTGTGGTAATCCAAAAGGTACAGCAATAGATTTCAATAGTAATTTAGTACGCTTCAATTCATGCTTGAAATGCCAAAGTTCATCCATTTGAACAGCAACATTTGTTTTCATTTGATTCCTTTTTCCTTTCACATTTGCTCTTTATGAGAGTACTATGTCACAAAGCAAAGAAGACTATCTATACTATTATCACGGTTACCTTCATAGTGCCCATACTGACCAATTTTGCTTTGACGGTTATCAAGAAACACTAATCCTAATGAACAAAACAAATTCTTCTTCACACCAACATTAGATCAGAGGAGAAAAATATATGGAATACATAATGGCGTGGTTGGTAGAAAGTTTATTTTGAAGGCTTTCAGATGGGCCTTCTGCTGGTCATGCATGGAGTAAATTTCACCCTTTAGGACAAATCTTGGAAATATTGAAGTCAGTAGGAACTTTGCCATAGATTTAAATGAGACTGAGATTTATCAGATATTATTACTGAAGAAAAAACCCATAGTTATAACTGAAGTTAGATAGTAAACAAAAATGTAGAAAGATTAGCACCATAGATAAAATTAATCAACAGCTACCAAACTTTAGAGCAAACTGCACTGGAAACTTAGTTCGGGCGCGAGGCATTTCACACAGTGTGGTCTTTCTGAAATCCTTTACTTGTAGCTATGAACATTTTCTGATGATATTTGGTTTTGTAAATCTGAACAGGCTGCAGTGGAAACATTACCCTGTGTGCTGTGATAGATATATAATCCACAATTTTGACCTCTGATCCTGGTCCAAATATCTATGATAATGTGCACATCATTCCTTCTCTTCCCAGCTGGCTTCAACTCTAATTCTTTTTTGGCAAGGCTTCATAAACACAATGAGAGAAATCACTTGAAGAAACCAAGCACTATGGGTGTCATTTGGACCGTGAATTACACAAATGATTTGATGTGA